AGAGAGAGAGAGAGAGAGAGAGAGAGAGAGAGAGTGAGAGAGAGAGAATAAATTACCCTATTTTTTCAGCAAATGTCCAAAGAAAATTTGTCAGACGTGCATGGCAATAATCTTCAAAACAAACACATGTGTTATTGCTGCTATGCTTTAATTTTGAACGTCAGACTGCAGACTCCCTCATTTTGCTACGGAATCCCTCTTTTTGAGGGCAGGAAGTCCGTTGGACTCCCTTGTTCAAAAGTTAATTTCTACCCCTGCTGAGTGTACAACAACATTGTTTTGTGGCTCTAAAGCTGTGGACACACTACGCGATTTTTCATGCGATTGAGCCGGCCGGCTCGATCGCATGAAAAATCGCCTAGTGTGTCCACCCCTTTACTCACAGGATCTCGGTCGAGCTTTGCGTCTGGAAACCCAGCAGATGATTGACTAGGCGCGGTCCCTGCTTCTCCTCGTCCTGGTTCACGTCGTTGTAGCAGTAGCGGTTCGTGTACTGGTCCGGCCGATCTGCAAGCGAAACAGCGGAACGTCTGTCTGCATCCGGGGCGGGCGCTGTTGACACGCAGTGCCCTCTACGTGACCTCTCGGCAAATGAATTTGACCTTCAGCTTGAGGTCTCCGCATTTGCGGTTTGTGGGGGATGGAATACAGCACCCGTCTATAAACGCCTGTCCAACTGAACTTGCAGGCACAGCTAGAATGTGGACATGAGGCATAGATCATCGCGCCCTCTATAAACACCTGGTCTCTCTCTATCTCATCAAGCTATATTTTGTGATGAATATGCCTTTAATATGGTTAGGGAATATATCAGCATAGATTTGTGCAATAAATTGTTAACAGTAGATCTAATTTTTAATTAGTCTGTTGATGGCCTTCAGACGATGATCCATTTTAGATTTCACTCTGTTCTAACTTCCGTTGTTAATTACTTATGATATTTGATCACTGAAATCAATATTAAATTTAGGAAATTATGTACGTTTCTGTCATTAAACCAGGAAGCATGAGCAGACTGTTGATTTACACGCAAACAACTAGGAAAAATCTTTTTCGTAAAACAACAACATCAACGTGTTTATTCTTAACTCACATGCGATATTCGTACATGTACGTTTTGTTGTTACTAAAGAAAACAAATATAATATCTCTAGTTTAACGAATATAACTGATCGAATACCGTGCGCTTAAAAATGATACATAACAAGGTTCTATGGAGACACACGCCCTTCTATACGTGGGCATAGGCTAGGTTTAGCTAAATCGCGTATAGAGGTATGAAAACACGTAACATTGCCGTAGGTTTGCCAGGCTAGTCTTACCTAGTAGATTAGCTAAGAATTTAACATCAGATGTTGTGATGAAGAGAGAATAACCTAGTGTGAGTGTACACGCGCGCGTACTTGCACGCGTGCGCGCGCACGTGCGTGTGCATGTACGTGTGTGAAATGTGAACACATTAGAATAACTGTGCGCATTTTAAACGGATGCATTCATGATTGGACTAAAACAATCACAATTTTTTAACTACTAAATATTTATGAATCTGTGCGCAGACACGGGTAATTAGTGTGCCTATATATTATAGACCATACATCGAGGGAGTGAGTATAATAGATATACATACATCCTATTAATTCTACTCAACACACCTTAATTACTTACGTGACAAGTGTGAAAGAATAAGGTGGCGCCCCGTACGGCTCTGATAGATTCACCGTATTTAACGAGGGTTTATCCAATTATTCTAGAAAAAAACAACTCTCACAATTCCCTAAATGCGCTCGCTTACAGCGATGCAAGCAACATCACTACAAATAAGTCTTCTTACAAATTACAGTTAAGTTCAATCGACAGTCCAGGACTGACGCAAATGTTGCCAAGATTTTCAATACTTCTGATGCCACGTATAAACATCCTATGATCTGCCGAGTATATGCCTCCTAAAACGAAATAACATCGTAGAAAATATTGCCGCACGAACAACGGTGACTATTACAAACGCAGCAACAACTGCAGATTCCAAACCACGATAAGCGTGCCAGGTTTCTATAGTGACCTTTATCGATGACGTCACCAACATCGATGACATCGTATGTCTATAATATCATACCTTCTAAAATGAAGTTTCACGCAATGGTTTTTGAATAAATTTGTGGACTCGTGATAGTCTATAAACTATTTATTACGTGTCTGCTGACTAAGTGCCCTGAGGCTGATTAACTCCTTAAAACTTTTGCTGTGCATCTCTCGGGAGAAAAGCACCTAAGATGTGTAACACGGTGACTCACTTCGTCCTTCCGGGAGTGAAAGAAATCAGAGAAGAATTTTAGAGAAGATATTTGTTGCATATTTAACATATCTCATCCCGATAACATCAACGTACCTTCTGTTTTACGTAGCAGTGTGACTTTCATCACAGATATATACAAACACATATGTTATATATATGTTATATGCTATACTGTGTTTAGATATATCTATGCTTTCCTGGCGTTCCGTAACGCCTCCCTGTTCTTAACGACAGCACAAATTCCTCAGGAATATCGAACCTGTAGATCGATTCCCGATACTATAGCAAGTAGCAATAGCAACACGGTGCATTATTGGAAACGTAGAAATGTATATAGCTAGATAGACAGATAATTATAACCTATCTAGTATATTATTTCCACGAGTGAGAATGTTTATACGAGCGGTGCCAGCTTAGCAGAAGGTGGAAAGTATTTTATATATAATTATATATATTATATTTGTATACACAGGAACTTTAGTAGAGTTGTATTGGTTCTAGCTGCCATCATGACGCTATAGCCACATCTGCTGCCACGCTCCATCGAGGTTTCAGCACCTCGAAAATTTCACTAGGTTTTAAATCACATAGAACAATCTCATAGAATATGCCCCCTTGATGCCCAGTTACGGGGATCAGGATTCATATTAGAGATTAGGTCAACTTCCTCACTCACACTTGATTTTCCAACACACTTAATCGTTAAATTTATAATAACGCATTTAAAGAAATGCGTAAACATGAACAACAAAGTTCGATGAGTTCATCGATTCATGGAATCTGAGACTCACCACAAAACAAGCACTGAATTTGTTTAAACACATTATCATTCTCAATAGAACAGAGGGGTGTAAACATAGATAATAACAGATGATAAACTCATTTACGCACAATGAAAACATTTTCTGTTTTATCGTACGAAATAAATCACAATAAACACAAACATCATGTGCATCGAAAGCTTAAGAGAATTTGTCTTTTCATGTGCAACTACGGCGGTGACATCCAGGTCGACATTGAACTGACGCTGAATTTACGCACCGCAAAACAGGTGAGCATCATGCCATGTTCAAAACTGCACCATCCTCGGAAAAAGCATCCATCCCGAAACACAAAATGTGAGGATTCCCCCTTTCAATTATATTTTTTACTCGACACGAGCACATAGGCTGCAGTTGTCATCAGCGTAGAGATGGCAACTGCAGCAACGCCCCCTACTGCCATTCTTAAAACAAGCATATACTGCAGGTGTCGTCACCATGGCGACGGTAACTGCAGCAACGCCCCCTACTGCCATTCTTAAAA